AAACTTGATAGTCCTTCATCCCAGCATGCTACAGGCCCAATATCAGTACCCTGGGCCTTTTGGTTATTGAGAAGAAGTCGCTTGAAGATTTTACAACATTTGACCCCTGTGACCTCAAAAGTTGGTCAAAGTCATTCATTTGAATAAACTTGATAGTCCTTTATCCCAGCATGCTACAGGCCCAATATCAGTACCCTGGGCCTTTTGGTTATTGAGAAGAAGTTGTTTGAAGATTTTAAAGACATCTGACCCCAGTGACCTTGAAAGTGGGTCAAGGTCAATCATTTGAACAAACTTGGTAACCCTTCATCCCAGCATGCTACAGGCGAATATCAGTACCCTGGGCCTTTTGGTTATTGAGAAGTCACTTGAAGATTTTAAAGACATCTGACCCCAATGACCTTGAAAGTTGGTCAAGGTCATTCATTTGAACAAACTTGGTAGCCCTTCATCCAAGCAGGCTACAGGCCTAATATCAGTACCCTGGGCCTTTTGGTTATTGAGAAGAAGTTGTTGGAAGATTTTAACATATTTCAACCCCTGTGACCTTGAAAGTGGGTCAAGGTCATTTATTTGAACAAACTTGGTAGCCTTTCATCCCGGCATGCTTCAGGCCCAATATCAGTACACTGGGCCTTTTGGTTATTGAGAGGAAGCTGTTTGAAGATTTAAGACATCTGACCCCAATGACCTTGAAAGTTGGTCAAGGTCATTCATTTGAACAAACCTGGTAGCCCTTCATCCCAGCATGCTACAGGCCTAATATCAGTACCCTGGACCATTTGGTTATTGAGAAGAAGTTGTTTGAAGATTTTAAAGACATCTACCTTCGGGCAGGTGAGCTGATAAAAATGTAGGTGTGTTGTGCAGGGAGAATCCGCTATCCATGTTTATCCGAGACATGCCCTTTATTTTTAGGGTCAAGCCATTTCTACTGTACTCTGCTACCTCCAAGTAAAACAAAGGCAAAAAATTTTGGAACTCTCCTTTGTTGGGAGATGCAACAATTTGGAACTCTTCTTTGTTGGAAAATGCAACACAAGAGCACTGGGATTCTCTACCTTAAACAAACATTTTCTATCATTATTTATTTCACAATTTACCAGTAAAGTCCTCATGTAAAATTTGTTTAAAGCTCATTAACAAAAATTAAAATTATTTGAAATTGGTTGTTTGAATGCATTACCTTCCTCAGAGGGGACAGGAGGGGCTTGACGAGGATTCTGTACATGTACCAGGAGAAGACAGCGAGGCCAACGTACAGTACGACATCCCACCAAGACACAGCATAGCGGGCCATCGGTCCAGTTAAGATTCACTGCAGTTCCAGTCTAAACAGAAAACAGAAGGCTCTGTAAAATTATACTATGAGTAACCACAAAATTATCTATATTAACTTTAAAAGTGGAATTTGTGATGTGTGAAATATGCTCATGTTTTCCGTGTAAACCGAATTAGCACAAAAATATCCACAAGTGAAAAATTGTGTGTGTGTTGGGGGTATTCAGCTGGGTACATCATCATTTGGGCAGTTACTCATTTTGTAATTTGTAATCCCCCAAGAATTTTATTCCGGGGTACATATATGCTTCTTTCATACATTGCCCAGTCAACAGCTATGATACAGCTGGCCGGGTACATACATGAAAGTAGTAGTAGTAGTATCACAGCTGTTATATCCCCTATGCCCATATATAGGTAGAATGTTTTCGTAAATAAATATTATTATTTGCTAATAATCTCAATCTGCCTTTGAGTCTTTTGTTCATAAATAGTCGTTTATATAGATTTTAGTTATATAGATTTCAGTTATATAGATTTTAGCTATATAGATTTAGTTATATAGATTTTAGTTATATAGAGTTCAATTATTTCAGAACCATTGCCAATGCAAAAAATTTCACACTACGATCAGTTTTTAAAGCATTTCAACATGCAAAAATATTCACTTTTGCCTTGATCCTCACCCTTAATTAGCTAAAGTTTACGTTTTCACTTTTTTTGTTAAAAAATTTTCTTTATATATTTCCTACCTCATCTAAAAACGTTTTATGATTTTTTTTCTTTAATTACATGAAAAATATCATATTAAAAGGACTTTGGTTATGATCAATTACAAACTAGGACACAAGCTCTTAACTGGCTCTTCATATATAGATGTTGTGCCAGCTCCTGGGAGCTAGCTATACAAGTATGGATTTCCAGCATTCCCTATAACCACTACTCACAGACCTCCTTCTTCGTTACCATGAAGTATTGACCTCCAAAATGTGTGTGTGTGTGTGTGTGTGTGGGGGGGGGGGGGGGGGGGGGGGGGGGGGACTGTGTCTCTGTGCTGCATTAACACCTTAGTGAACAAAGTTTAGAAGGGTAAACAAATATTGCTTATTTTTGTTTTCACTTTTCCTTTTCTCATTTACAATTGCTCCCTTGATACTGGTACCTAATTTTTTTACTGGTGGTGGTGTGGTGGGGCATAGGTTTGATTCATAGAGTGTCTATATTTATAAGATTAAAATATTTTATTGTGCAGTGTGTTTTATTTTAATTTAATGGTTTAATTCGGTTGATATGGACAGTCCAGTAGCATACAAGTGAATATCACTGGCTCTCACTGGACATCAATGAAAGTTAAATGTACTTTGGCCACAGGTGCTCGGTCTCGGGATACTTTCGGTTAATAATAAACCTATACACACCAGTAAACATCAGCAACACTCTTTATCCGGTGTTTTTACACATTCTAAAACCTTATAAAAATTGAGGGTACTGAGGTAAAATTTGGTGATGTACGCGAGCTAAATTAGGATTTAGTAAGCAATACTATTACATGTCAGCGCCAATATGCATTTTGTAAACACTAATGAATTATTCACAGCGGCGTAACTAACGTAATGTTATTGTTCCCTTGTTCCAAAGTCCAATAAAACAGCAAATTATACACACCTGAACAGTAAACTGTCAGGTAACCGGAAGTGACAAACTGTGTTCTAAACAATGAAACGACAAATCCACTCTATAATCCGGACATATTCCATTATTCCGCGTGCGTCTTTTTATGCATCAAATTAGAACACGAACTTAAATCTAAATAAAACGCTAATACTTTAAAACACTGTCGCTAGATCAGAAAAAAAATGCCGCGGACTCAAGATATCTAGGCCAGGTTATTCAAAAGTTCTACACACTTAAAGAAGGGCGTTAATGCTAATTTTCAATTTTATACATTTTTTTCCGGTTTTTTTGTGTGTGCATCAGATGGTTATTTTGACTGTCTTTTAAAATGAAGACTTCGTTTTGATAATTCATCTGTTTTCATTTATTTCATTTTTTTAATTTAATTTAATTTTATGTATTTCTATTACTTGAACTAATCTGAGTCCGTGCTTATACATATGTACTACTTATAAACCTTTGAATCATCGAAAATGGCATGTGTTTAACGAGGAAATAGATATTGTGTGTGCGTAAAAACACGTTGTGTGTATTTAGATGGTCATTGGAAAAAAAGTATCCATTTTTCCGACGATGAAGCATTATATAAATATTTCTTAACGCCAACCAGAAATGAGTTTCTAAACAATTTCTTCAGGTTGGTAAGCATGGACTGAAGAAAGGCTACACTTTGTTCAATAGCTGGTCACATGTACACCAGTCTCACCTTTCTTTGCATCAGAAGTTGGCCGTAGTACGCACGTTGCTTAAAAAATGAGTTACAATTAATTGTCACAGAACAACGGGACAAAATGCAAGAGCAGAATCACATGGCTGGGCCTATGAAAAAATGAGGATATCCGAAAATGGCCCTCATAGAGCATCAAAGCAGTTAAAGGAAATAATAAGAAAAGGCCAACCAAGGATAAGAAGGAATGAAAGACCAAGTGATCATCTCCTACATAAAGGTATATCCGGAGTCACCCAGGGGATATGTCGCGGTCACAGCATAGCAACATGCATGAAGCCCCACATGTAAGACGCTTCGTAATATCCTAGTATACCCTAAGAAAAACACCGGAAAGATACGGAAACCCAAGAGGGAAAGAAATTCACCCGATAAGAAAGGAAGCAGAGGCGGGGTCTCAGATAAAAAAAATATATATAATCAGTGATGCATGATGCCAACCAGTACTGAAAATCATGGGGTTTTTTTACTGGAGAAACTCAAAAGTATTGGAAAGAGAGAGCAATTTGTTCAAGCGGCAGATAAAGGCATCAATCTGGATACGCTGCAGAAGGGCATGCTATAAATCGAGATGAGGGGGCTCACAGACTCTCGCACATTTCTGACTAGCCTTTTAGCGTGTACATACGCTTCATTGGTCATTTGTCTGTTGAAAATGACAAAATACACACCGTACTAGTCATCGAAACGTCACACCAAAAAGAAATATTTTGTTGGTTGTGCTACATGAACCTTTTACAAACAAAAATGTGATTTTGCAGCGGGAAAATTAGGCGTAGTCTTCTTAAGACTTTGAGAGCTTTCTCTTAATGGTGGGATTTAATCGGGTGTTTATCTCAACCCTGAAACGTTTCATCACACTCCTACATACCAGGATAGGTGCAAAAATACATTCACCCTGTACTCGATTACCATGTCCCTGTGTAGGAAAGGTATGATAATGATAATATACAGCATTTGATATAGCGCCCTATCTAGCTAACATAAGCCACTCTAAAGCGCTTTACAGTTCATAGATATACAATTAATACCATTAGGATATGCAATTATCGTACCCATCATCAGCAGTAATCATCATTTATCTATCATAGGCAATTACACGTATTCAAGGACTTGTATATATCTTATCCAATGTCTTGATGTATTGTGTCTCTTCTCTGATGATGACGTAGCGAGACCATTAACGAAGTCGAACACATTTAAAAAGTCGAGTTCTAGATAACGAGGAAAAAAATGTTTGCCAGCTATAGAATTCTGTAAGATGTCCAGAAATTGCAATTGTGTCTTAATGAAACAATACATCATTTCTAACATAAACAAAAAAAAACATGAAAAGAAAACAAATACTCGACATAAAAAGTTTGAAAATATTTTATTAAAAAATCATTCGATGATTTTAAGATGTCCAAATAGTAGTCTAATCAGCTGTGTCTGTCTAAATAAATTCCAGATATATATTTCCCATGATGGTCCTGGAAAAACAGACTCGTACATATCTGCGCCGTGCTACCATCATCGCTTCACTTAAAATAATCAACAGATGGTTTACTACCAAGCAGCCATGGAGCGGACTCCGATAGGCGGGAGATTTGTTCTGTTCGTAATCATGTACTGGGGTGGCAGAACTTTAACAGAGTAAGGAATCACCCTAGCTCCCCGGGGGACGGGCAGACGTATTCTCTCTTCAGACAATGCGATGCTCTTTGAAGGCATGGATTGAATCCTCATTGTGCCCATCATCAACTTTTCAGCGGGTTCCTTGCCAGGCAAATCGGCAATTACAGACGACATTTTGTTCTTGGGAGTAATTTTTCTACCGCGAGCTTTAAATCCCGGCATGTTGATAGGTTGGCATGTTTCCGTATATGTAAATTCCTTTAGATTTTTATCCGCCCTCTTCTTTGAGGGTGTCATCGTGGGCACATTTTTAATAGGCGACAAAGAGTAATCGGACATCGTCCCCTTGGTTCTTTTCTGGGTTGAAATTTTCTTTCCAGTCATTGTTTTTCTAATATTGGCTGAAACAGAACAACAACACAGTCAAATAAAGTCCATTGCGATCATTGTCTTCACTCGAAAATAGATATAGGTAACATTTATTATATAACAGCTCGTTACTCGGCCAAACAATAAATTGTTGATGGCCAGAATGTTTTAATCGGCCCCACAAAACATTGTATTACACCTAATATCTCAAGTTATATACTATTGTAAAAGGAGAAAAGAGAAATGCATGGCCATAGTGGGAATCGAACCCGGGACCCTTAGAACTCTAGACGAACGCTCTACCAATTGAGCTACCCGGTGCCGACGATCGACCCAATCCAGTTCCGCTACATTCCTCCCTTCCTTTTTTTTCAAGTCTTCGCCCTCAAAGACACAATTATTTACAAGCCAGGTTAGGATATATATCTCCTTGTAAAGCATTTACCCAGTACTTGAAACAAGGGTTGACAAGCACGCCAATTTCGTAATAGGGGGAAGAGAAATGCATGGCAAAACTTCGAATCGAACCCGGGACCCTGCGAGCTCTAGACGAACGCTCTACCAATTGAGCTACCTGGTCGCCGACGAACGACCCAGTTCAGTTCCGCTACACTATTAAGTGGTTTAATAGGTCACCTACCTTTGTTAGCAGTTCTGACCAAAGACTCTCTTCTGGGACTTTCCGGACGGATGTGGTCTCTCCTTGGTTCACTGTCCGGTGATGGTGAGCCCGGGATTGGGGACAAAACCTGAACCGATCCTGCGTTTCCGTAGTACATGGTTGTCTCACCGATTACCTTGCATTTATCCTTGATCGTTTTCTTTAGACGGGAGCATCGGGATGACCCCTGGTCAGTAAATGGTTTTTGATCTTTTGTCATAATTATTGTTTCGCTTGATGTTGAAAACTAAGTCTGAAAGTATGGAGAGTAAAAAAGCAGTCAGTCATGTAGAGCTATAGAGCGTATCTATGGAAAGTATTATGGGTATCAATTATGACACACTGTAATGATGACGTCATAACTATTGTGACGTCATCAGATTGTTTTGTCTATCAGCTACATCGGCGATTTACGTCGCGATTCCGGCTTTCTATATATCGCCGATCGTGAACGAATTTAAACCTGTAGAATTTAAGAAATAATTCTGAAAAATGCGTCAGCTTGAGTGAATGTATTACGACTATACAATTATAACATGTAAAAAGCCATTTATATGAAAAGACAAAGCATTTAAAGATCGTAGCTTTTACCTACTTGTGATATTTCTTGATTGAGAATTATACATCATAGATAATTGATATTCATAATGTATTTATTTTATTATTGTTAAACCAAAAGTGGTAATTCACAGAGTATCAACAGGTATAGCTAAAATCGATTTACTGTCATCATTTCGGACAATATGGTTTTGGACATAATTACCTAAAAAGGGATTTGGCGATACATTCACAGTTAAGTCTAAATTAAACATTTTCTGTCTGTGACTAGTTACAAATCGACACGTGGCGAAAAAAAAAAAAATTTGTGGAAACTGGCGATTTGAGTCATTGTTGATTTTGACATTTTTTTGTTCATGATTTTCTTGTTTTCTGTTGGTTAATTGCAATAGGGTCGTTCGTCCTTCAAATTTATTCTTGTTCTTACGTTTGGCCGGTTACAGTTTTAGCCTGGTTCGAAGGACCATGGTGAGCTTATGCCATACCGCAGCGTCCGTCGTCCGTCCGTCAACTTTTCCTTTAAAACGCTACTTGTCCTGAACGGCCAAGTAGATTTTGATTAAATTTGGTCTGGAGTATCCTTAGGCCAAGGGGACTCAATTTTGTATAAATGGTGGGTGTAGCCTCCCTGCGGGCACAGGGGCGGGGAAAAATAGGGGGAAAAGACGTAAACCCTTTAAAATCCTTCTTCTACCGAAAGAATTAAGGGATGTTGTCCTTATTTTGTCTGGAGCATCCTTGGGCCAAGGGGACTCAATTTTGTATAAACGGTGGATGTGGCCCCGCTGGGCGCCGAGGGGCGAGGCCAAATAGAGGAAATAGACGTAAAACCTTTAAAAACCTTCTTCTACTGTTGTCATTAAGGGATTTTATCCTTCTTTAATCTGGAGCATCCTTGGGCCAAGGGGACTCAATTTTGTATAAACGGTGGGTGTGGCCACGCTGGGCGCAGAGGGGCGGGGCCAAATAGAGGAAATAGAGGTAAAACCTTTAAAATCTTTCTTTTACCTTAGGGATTAAGGGAATTTATCCTTATTTGGTCTGGAGCATCCTTGGGCCAAGGGGACTCAATTTTGTATAAACGATGAGTGTGGCCCCGCTGGGCGCAGATG